GGGGAGATCAGCGATTTTTCTTTAGTGGACTGAAGAACTGTTCAAATATGAGCATAGAGGGCTTAGCCCACAGTTGGTCCCATATTTGGTAAGCCCATATTTGGTATCTCCTTAAGGTCCCTATTATAGCCTATAAATACACACCTCATGGTGATGAAATTCGTAATTGAGAGCTTTGTGAGTTAGCCACCAAGACAAACATTGTATTTAACGATAATACAATAGAAGTTCTTAGGTAAACCGAGAGCCCCATATCCGCGGACCATCAGCAGTCGATCGTTGTCGATCCCCCGTCGTCCGTTGCCATGACGCAACCCCACAACCCGCGATGCAGTCTCGACTACCCGCGATACCCTTCGGCCACCCGTTTCCAATTCTGACGATCATATGATCTCTATCAACGAAAATCATAAACGTCTTAGAGCCTGCGATTTTTTAAGTCGTGAATATTTTATTTTAACTCTAGTATGTTGTGCTTAGGCTTAATCTTTCGTAAACTTTAAGATCTATGACTTACACGAATACGACGTTCCTAATAGGACCCCAACAGCAACTTCACACTTCAAAGTTGGAAGGACGCTTTTTTACAGTGGACAACAAGGAGGAGGCAGACCTTAAGGCAGTAAGGTGGAGCTTGTAAAAGATGATCAAGGAAGGGGATCTTCTTGAAGTTTATCTCCATTGTAAGGCTGCTAAAATCCAAGGCAGATCTTCCTCTGGTGGTTGCAGCTATTATTTCTGATATTTATGTTTTTATGGGATTGTTCAGTTATTGTCTTTATTGTGGATAAAGGAGCTTGTTTTAGGGGGTGTCTATAGTCCCGTTGAGGCACCATTCCCTTATTTTGTTTGAGGCCATAGGATTTAATATGCAGCTTATCCACGGTTAGATTTAATGTGGAACACATTACAACAATGTGAAATAGAACACCTAATTATTGTTTGTAGAAGTTGTAACCGCAACATTTATTTTATTTAATTGGATTTCCTCTTTGTTTGTCATTTTTCTGAAATATAATAATTTTTTATTATTTGTCAGATTTTTATGTATCAGTATGGTGGCCCTAGATTTGACATACGATTACTTATATAAAAATTAAACTAAGAATATTATAATGTATGAGCTTAATATAAAACCTAACTATACTAGGAAGTTCTGGTTATAACCAATTTTACATGATAATTTTTAAAATTACTAATAAAATATATATAAAAAAATGCTATTTAGAGAAGACAAATCAAAAGAGTGAGATACATCTAATACCATGTATAAAGAAATTCTAAAAACTAATATTTTTTTTTTCAACTATTGAATTTAAACTTTATTTAGTTATAAAAATAATTAAATTGCCTTCACTCGATGTGCACGAGTTAATTGAAACAAAGTATTATTTTTTGATGTACATATACTTTAGTATTGGATGAATATGCATTTAAATGGGACCGTAAAATAGGTACGAAACTATTTTTTCTTACAAAATTAGATTATGCACTGTTTCTATTGAGAAACAAATTGTCGGTATATTTAATCATCGACGTGTATATTAAATATCTCTATATATAAGTGTAGAGTTTTACATATCAATTTTAGTATTTCATGATTCTATATGTCAACTTGTGGTATTAATCCTATGTGTCAATTTTTTATTTTTTAGTTCATGTAGATTTGTACTTTCTTTTATGCCTATCAAAATTTTTAAATCTAAAAGTATTTTGATAACTAGAATTATAAAAATATTTAAAAATTTAATAGTTTTATTATTTCTTAGTGTTTTTATATATCAAACTAATCATTTTTTATGATTATCAATTTGATATTTATATTGCATGTTTAAAAAAAAGTTGTTTGCGTGAATGAGTCTTATAGGTTATGAACGTCATTTTAAATAAAAATAGAAAACAGTTTTTAAAAAAGTAATTAAAAATGAAATATATTTTTTTTAAAAAAAATTGTTTAAATATGTTTTTTCTTATGTTAAGACCCTATACTAGTTATTTTAGTTTAATTGTCTGTTATTGTTAATAGCTTTATTATGTTGATTTTTTAATTAATAATGATTTATATTGGAACAGCTTTTTTGAAGGAAAAAAAAACGGTACTTCAAGGGAAGTATAGTATGCATTGTGGTGTATCTTATTAGATGACGTGTCATTATTTAATTGGTTAAAAATTGAGGGTATGGTTCTATTGAAAACCACAACGGTACCTTAGAATTTTCCCTTGTTTTAGTTCTAGTTCGTTAGCCGAAGGGGCTTTGAAGAGGGAGAAATATGTATTTCTCTCGTTTGTCATATTTCTTAGTCCTTGTGGGTAAAGATTTATGGTTTGTAACCATTTGGTTACTCGTACTCTTTGTAATTGGTTGTTTGAGTTTTATAAAATTGTTTGTTAAAAAAAAAAAAACAAAAAACANACGGCAAAGCATTAACATTAAACTCAAAATACAAGATATAGGCTTAGCCAACAGGCTAAATTGTCCCCTTAGCTACTGAAAACCAGCAACTAAGGATAAATGGGATCGAACGGCTAACAAGCACAGAACCAACTAACCAGAGTCGGCTTTATACACATAAACACAAGAGGTAAATGTAGAAGAGAGATATACAATGTCATCAACAATAACATTCCAAGTCAGCTCCTTCTGGAACAGGTTGTTGAGAGCTGAGCAGTACTTGTGAGGTGGACATAACAGACCACTTCATCCCAATCCTCTTGTACATCCTGTTCCAATAGCCACCTAGTGCTTTTTAGACCATTCTCCTGTAGTTCACTACTGAATCCTATTGATTCGGTCCAAGATTCAGATTTTAGCACCTGACCATCTCTCCTAGCCTCACCTTCCAGCAACAAAGAGTCCTTCAATGAGGGTAAGGCACTGGCAGTTAAAGACACCTGCCCTACCTTCTGGAAAAATTCGCCATCAAGTACTTGTCTGTCGTTCAGATCTTCAGCCCTACATTCATTTGAGTTTGCCTCCAGAAATTCATTCCATTCCTTTTTAGCTTTATCCACTGTCTCAATCTCAGAAACCCAAACACCCTCAAAAACCCACATGTTCCTTGTTTTCCAAAGCCACCAAAGTAGATAACTAAATTTGTGCATTAGTTATCTCAGCCCACCAGTCCTTGAAGTAGGGATTATTGTAATCTAACCTGTTCAAGCTGACACCAAGATGCTTCCAGCAGGTTCTAGCTTTGTGGCAATAGAAGAGCAAATGTTCAGTGTCCTCAATACATATCTTGTAGATTCCCTCAACATGCAGACCTTTTGACTGAAGCCTTTTGTTGGTGCTTAAGAAGTCATGCCAAATCCTCCTGAGGAAATTTTTCAGCTTGTTTTTTATTGGCAATTTCCATGTTCTGTGCCACATTTTCTGCTCAGTGGCATCTCTTCTGCTCAGTGAATCTCATCCGACTTGAACTACTTAAAGTAAAAAAAGCAACGAACATTTTTATCAATTTGGAACCTTCTTTACACAAAATTCATAAGTTGACTCGAATGGTGTATTTTTCAATCAATTGATCCTTGAGTTGGCAATTACTATATTGAAGTCTTCGGTCATTTCGTCACAATTACAAGTTGAGGACATGGTGCTTTCACAAAAATAAAATAAATACGATAAAAATAAATAAATACTATATTGGTCTGTAGACTCTAGTAATTTAAACCAGCGGTGGAGGGATTTGGATAGCACAAATTTTTCATATGTGAATTCGTCCAACACCATAGGCACCATTATTTTACTTATGTACAACAAGTTTTCCGTCTCGTCCTAATATACAGATGTGATATATACATACAGGCTACAGCTACACCTATCCATGATAAACATTCATCATCAGCAAAACCGCAGCCGCACGATTCCTTTACCTCTGCCGTCTGCAAAATTAAATTGGCAAACGGAGAATATTTAGTAAAACACTTAAAGAACGGAGTCAATAATTTCATCTATAAAACAGGGAATACAAACACCCAATCTCAAGATGACAAAACTTTTCTCACCAGGTCAACTGAAGATGAAGGAAAAGACAAGTTAAATGACTTACGAGGGAATTAAATGCTGAGGTTGAGTTGAAGGGCAGATCGTGTAGAAATTGGGATAAGAAGAGCAAAATGGTGTTTAACTTATGCAGCTTGCTCCTTTACCAAATTGCATCTTCTAGACAGGGCAAATTGCCAACGCATAGTCGTGATACTTTTAATATAATATGCCTAATGTATTCTTTCTACATATTTGCACACATATCCAAACATGGTCGCTAATCCTATAGACACTTACTGTTCTACTAGCTTGTTAAGTCATGTAGTCACCACTCATGACACCCAAGATACAATCTTTATCTTCTTAAATCACGACGAGACTCGAGTGGTAGCATTATCATTAACTACATTTAGCAGCGTCAAATGTCGCATATTACTTGCTGTATCCACTAAACATAAAATTGTTAGGTATATTATGCATAATGAAAGAATTGCCAGAATATTCACGGTCATATTCGTATGCCAACATTTGATAGAAGGGTGACCAATGACAAAAACAAACATTTAACATGACTCCTCCAAACAATATAAACAAAAAGTTTAATATGTTTCTTAAAAAGTGTAGAGCGCCAAAGATAATTGTAATTGTACTCATCATGTTGTGATAAATATATCTCAGAGAATATCTACAATAAGGAGCATGTTGCCCTAAAAATGAAGTCTTGAATTACAATTCTTGATGTGATTGTGAACTCATGGTATATGATATATGAAATAGTAAGATCCTCAATGCAAACCACTCAGCAGTCTATGCAGAATCTACACAAATAAGCAATACTCATGGCAGTTTACTAGCATAATACAAGTATCATGTGCATGGAGGGCAAAAAGATTAGGTACAGCAACACCAACATCACTCAAACTCGTCAAAAATCGAAACGAAAAACAGATACACAAAAGAACAAGAAAATGAATCAATATAACTCACACAGCACATGGAGGACCAAATAAAACCTCATCAAGCAGCACAGATAGCCAATTTCCCCAAACTCTCATCCAACACTCCATAATCCAAACTAAGCTCCCTCATCGGCGGTATATTCTCCAGCGCAAACACCATCAAACGAGGAAAACACACATTATTGTGGTCGTACAACACGAGCTGCACAAAAACATTTGGCACCGCGCTATGGCTAATGTAGCACGCCACATTCCTCATCCTCGACACATCCACCGCAAAATCCAGAGGCGGCGCCGACGGAAAACTCGGGCAAACATAGTCCACGAAAACCCGAGACATATCACCCCACTCCCTCCACCTCTCCGCAAAACGTGCCGGGTAGACGAGACTATCTCCGTTCATCGTCACCACTTTCGCCTGCTCCCGAGTCAGCACAACTCCAGCATACTCGCAGATAAACGAGCCCGCGAGAATCAAGTCCAGTGACCTCAGCCCCCACCCAGTCTCCCTCGACCGAAAAACCTCGAATCTGTGGCGCGACCCCTTTTGGGCCACGCGGTTTCTGCAAGTGGGAGGGCATTGGCAGTGGGGCCCACACTCGAACACTAATGGCTTACCTCTCACAAGAATTCCAGAGAGGTTGTACGCGAAGTCGCCCCCGTTTTTGACAGCGCAGAGGCAGTTGGCCGTGCACGAGCTGAGGCAGGTGCATCCATAGGTGCTCCCGGGAGAGTACACGTGAGGAGGGAAGCAGGTTTTGGTGATATAGTCATAGTGGAGGGGTTCTTGGTCTGAGTCGAGGTCGTTGAAAATGAAGATGGGGTAATTCTCTTTGTTGTTGGAGAGGTCGAGGGAGAGGTATCCTCTGGGACGCAACTCCAGGGGTCGAGATTTCAACCTCTGAGCGAATTTCATGACAGTGCTGCCCATTTCTGGCTGATTTGAGATGCGCGAGAGTTTGAATTTGAAGACGCCGAAGCCGGATTTGCCGATGTCGAACCATGTTTGGACGATTCTGTAGAGACCGTCGTAAACGTAGACTTTGCCGCTGATGCTGCCTTCGTATTTGAAGCCACGGATGACTCGGATTTCGATACCATAGCGCATACTTCTCTCGAGAGCTAAATTGCCGCACTCTAATCTCTGGTGCAAAACCTGCCTGTTGTTCTTGTCTTGGCCGCCGTGGCCTGTGTAGACTATTACATCCCCTGCATCCTCGTCGTCCTCGTAACCTCCGGAGACTATGATGCTAGTGGCAATTGGCTCTCCGTTCTGGCTCTGGCTAGCGGGAACATAATCAATTCCGGCCTGGGGCTGTCCATGCAAACCCACCACGCAGAGCTCCATCCTGAAGAAGAAAACGTCCCCAATTAAAACGCCGGGGAGGTGTCCCACGACGCGCTTGTTCCGAAACTGCCACAACTCGCGCTTCCTCATACAGGCAGACGCCCTTAGGTCACCTCGGGTTCTCCTGTGGGGGCGCATCGGCTCCGTCCGACGCTCGTCCTCCGCGATTGCGAACACGCGCAGCGAGTCGAACAGCATCCGGATCTTGCGGATGATTTCCCGGAAGTAGCGATCTTCGTGGGGGTTCAGACCCTCGATCCGGACCAGCTCCGCCGAGCGGGCCGGGTATTTGCGCGTCGGGGGGGCGGGGTTGGATAGCTGGGTCTCCGAGTTGGGGACGGGGATGATGGCCCGAGAATCCGGGTCGCCTTCGGGTGCGGGTGCGGGTGGGGCGGCGGCCGAGGTGGAGGCTTGCTCCCCTAATCTCCGGTCCACAGTGGAGCGGAAGAGCTCAGAGATACGATGGAACTCGGAGGAGAAGTCGGGTCTGGAGGGAGAGAATCCGGGAGGCGCGGCGGATGGGGAGTCGTCGGAGAAGTAAAGGGCCGGATGCGGAGGCGCCGGCGCCGGAGTAGGCGGTTCGTCTAGCGGTTCGAGCTTGGGGACGATCTTGGGAGTGGTGGCAGCGGGTCCGTTCAGGTCCGGAAATGGCACAGCGGAATTGGAATCCATTCTCAGATTTTGTTTTGAATTTAAGGGATTGAAGATCTAAAAGGGTTTTTTGGGAGAGTGGCAGAGCGGTGTGTTTGTTGGGAGGATTGAGGAAGAAGGTCCGGTGGAGTAGCAGTATATTTAGATATGACCGAGTAGCTTAAATGTTTGAAAAATAATTATGCAATCCAAAAACAAAATGCACAAAGACAATAATAAAGCTGACAGCATATGTGCATTTAAAGAAATAAAAAAAGAATACCTAGAACTATAGAAGGAGAGGAATACGATATTGGTAAATTATATTATGCTAACGAATTCGTAATCTCTTTTTTAAGACCATATAATCAGTTAGATTGCTGTAAAATAGGAAATCCGGTTATTATTAATTAATAAAATTATATTTATAAAAATTTAAAATAGAAGTTTTTGTCTTATAGTCTTGAATAATTCCTATATATTATATTAGTGTTTTTATTTTAAGTTATATGTATCATTTGTTAGACTCGATCATCCTAAATTGTAATTGTTATAAATATATGTATATGGACATTACTAATTGATAATTGGGCCTGAAGTCCATTAGTTAGGGAAATTAGGTTTTAGGGCTTCTCACTTGTAAACCCTATAAAAGGGTGATATAGGATGAATAAAATTACAGACTTTTATGCTCTTCTGTCTCTTGTTCTCTCGCTCGTTTCTCTTTACTTTGTTTGGTGTGGATGCTTGAGGATCCCAATTTACAACACGTTATCAGCACGCTCTAATTTACAATTTGTTGGTGTTGCCCTAGAAAAGAATCGTGTCTTTTCTGTCAAGGTAACATTCAAGATCTGCTCAATATCAATAATGAACTATTAGTTTAATCAATTTTAGTTATATCTATCTATCTCCGAAAGTTTAATTATTTATCTTACGAGTTTATCTATGCGTAATTGGATTGGAGTTTTGATTTATATGTTTGTTTTTATTGTTTGTTGTCGGGAAATTGATCGCATGAATTTAAGTATGTCTGATCGCGAATATAATTTCCTGAATATGTGAAGCTCCAGTCGCATAATTGTTTGTCTCTCAGTTAAATTCCTATCCTGCCATGTTCATTATTGTTTGTTGGGCAAAGTTTTAATAGCTTAATTAAGTTACAGTTTGTTAACATGAATGATGAGTGGATTTTTATATATACATGAATTTATGGATTGGATGGCAGCATATTCACTCTCAATTAAATCCCATTGAATGGACCAATATTATGTTTATGCGATATGAAATTATTATTTGTATAAATTGATTTCATGATAAAATTGATGTTGCTTTGATATACCCATTCATGAATACTTTTGTAAATTGATGCGTAAGCCCAAAACAAATTCACGGTTATTGGATAATAATTAATTCTCGAAAAGTCGGAAAAAATTATTTGATCTCTGTGTTCATGGTTAACTTATGATGATGAGGCTTGCTTTCGAATTTCAATGCTTGGGAATTATTTGTTGGGCCAATTTTCTATCACATGTTTCCTGCTAATTATTTGTTGGGATTTTTATGAATTGGTTGTGATTATTTTTTTTAATAAATGTTCAAAATCAAAATATTTTGGCCCAAATTGCTTCGATTTCCGTGTCATATTGTGTGATTAGATTCAAAATGTAGTTCCAGAATTTGTAGAAAATTGAGTATTGTGGCAATTATTTGATTTGTGGTGCACAGTGGTTGGAATGCATTTGTATTTTATTGTTGTAAGCAAAATCAGTTTATATTGCTTGCGAACATGATTTACTTTATTGCCTTGTGAACTCTGCTACACTTGAATCAATTAAGTATGAACCTTATTTATTTGTTTTATCAGACACTATGTGATTAATATTGTGCATACATAATATTTGGTATGGTTTTATTTGGTTATGATATTATATCAATTTTGATCACATTTTAATAGATTAATATCATTTCCTTTTTGGCTAACTTTTAGATTATAAATATGTCTGATATCACCAAAAGAGAATTTGCTGAGCTCGCCCTTGATGGTAGTAATTACTTAACTTGGGCCCTTGATGTCGACATTCACCTGGCTTCATTTGATTTGAGTGCCACAATTGATCCGGCATCTCAAAGCACTCCCGCCCAGAAGGCGAAGGCATTGATTTTCCTCCGTCACCATCTTAATAAAGATCTGAAAAATGAATACCTTACAGAAAAAGAGCCCGCCAATCTTTGGAAATCCCTGAAGGATCGTTTTGACCAACAAAGAGCAATAATCCTCCCTCAAGCACAATATGACTGGCTTAACCTTCGCTTTCAGGATTTCAAATCTGTCACTGAGTATAATTCAGCTCTACACCGCATTGTTTCACAGCTTAAACTCTGTAAGCAGAACATTACCGAGACTGAGTTGCTTGAAAAGACTTTATCCACTTTTCATGCTAACAACCTTGTACTCCAGCAGCAGTACAGGGCTAAGAACTATGCAACGCATTCTGAGCTGATTTCGGCCTTGCTTGTGGCCAAAAAACACGATCAATTATTGATGAAAAATCATAATGCTAGGCCGGTTGGAACTCAAGCTGTGCCTGAAGCACATGCGACTACTCACGGACATCATAATGTGCGAGGGAAAGGTCGAGGATACCATACCCAGGCACCCCGTGGTGGACGTGGTCACGGTCGTGGTCGTGGACGTGGTCGTGGCCGTGTTTGGACTCGTGATGGAGGGCGAGATCATGGTGATAACGTCCCGGGAGGTCATAGAGAGAACTTAAACATTGATGCGGATCGTTCAAATCGACGCGATTCACATCCACAACCTAAAGAGCAAAAGCAGGTTTGCTTTAGATGTGGGTGCGACAATCATTGGTCCCGTACATGTCGTACTCCACGGCACCTAGTCGAGGCTTATCAAAGAATGCTCAAGGATAAGAAAGGAAAGGCTCCTCAAGGTGAATCACATCATGCTAGTTTGCCTGAAGCAAATTTAGCCATCAATGATGATGATGATGATTTATTGCAGCTCGAGCTCGAGGACTACGGTGATAATGTGTGATTAATATGCATTCTATATTAGAACTGGATATTTTATTGATGGTCTATTTTCATGCTATTAGACATTTCTGTTTTTTTTGTTCTATCAGACATTTGTGGTTTGTTTTTGCTTTTTATCCTATGTTTTCATTGAGACTTTATGATTATTTATGTTTGCTTTTATGTTTGGTAAGATGCATATCATTGACTTATATTGTTGACAGCTACAATAATATATTTATATATAGTGCCCGCAGCACATAATTTTTTTTAGTGCCTGAAGCATATAGTGTTCACTTAGAAATGAATTATTATACTTCCATGCCCAACTTATACAATTAGCATGAGCAGTTGGATCACATTGGGCAATTATTTATGATAATTTTCCCCTAAAATGCGTGGAGAATTGAACATTTCCCATCTGCAATTTATTATTATTATGCACCATTTTATATCACCACCAATTCGTACCTTTACGGGCCTATATTACAGACTAGGTATGCTATGATTTTTATACTCCGTCGAATTTTTAATACCTAGAGGCCATTATAGGGGATCAGTTTATTCCTTGGTACGTTTTTTGCATAATATATGAAGATAATTTCACGGCATTAGGGGGAGAGATGAGCATGAGTTTATTAATGCCGCGAAATATGTGAAATATTAATGCTTTCATTATTTCAAACCACGCAATAAAAATTGAACTTGAAATTCATATTATATTTCTGTCAAGCGAAATCTATAGTTATAATGGAGTGACCTATTGGTAAATATATAGATGTACCACAAAGTAAGCAAATTCCCTAGGGAATAATTGACTCCTTAATGCTTAAAGAATAAAGTGATATAATTAATATGATGTATGAAAGTCCGCGGAAAATGTATATTCAAGAATTAACACTCCTTTATAATAAACTCCTGAAGAGTTGATCCAGTACATCTTGCACGTGCATCAAACCATTATAGTACTGGAAATGCGGAACAGCCAAAATTTGATTTTACGGGAAATGATTATAAATATGGCTATCAAATGGTTGAGAGAAAAATATAAATTGAATATCAGTTGTCGACAACATATTTGCCTATGTGATTTCTTAACTGTCTCAAATAATGATCCGGATCAAAAGAATAGAAGTGCTAGAAGCGCTTAAGTTGATTGAGATAGAAAGAAAAATTGAGGCAGAGCTTTCACTCGCTACACGATATATCCCAGGAGGATAGCATATCCCAGAAGGATAATGAATATTTATATGAAACATGTGATGTGGTGGTATGACGTAAATATAGCGAGATTATGCTCATGGGTTTATGCAGAGACCCAAATATTTATAAGTTCTCTCATTAGCAAGGATTCCGCAAGTTAATATTTATGGCAGCAACATTACCATGACTATTGAGTCATATGTGAAAGTCCTGGATGGACTCAAGTACCCGAGATGAAAGATAGTTAAATAATAAATTGTTTAATTATTTAAAATTGTTGGTGAGATGTGGTACAACCAACTAAATTCTTCCTGAAGAAGTAAAATAAGAAATTCAAGGTAGATCCTTGTGTATATTAATGATAATATACAAAATGATCATCTCGGTCAAATAGATTATGTGGTGAACACTATGTAAAGATTAAATAAGTTCGCTCATGCTTATAGACGGAGTTAGAATGAAACTCTTGGTTAAATACCAAAGAGTATTATCTCGACTTGTAGATCGAGCACTCCTAGAAGGAGTATTTTTAACCAACCAATCTACTTGAATCTCTTTCTAGAGATGTAAACTTATAGCACCAATGAGTGTCAAATATTTGGAATTTGACAAAGATCCAAAGAAACAAATGAGGATATTATAGAACCTGAAGTTCCGAATGACTTGAAGTCCACAAATGACCTGAAGTTTATTTACTACGCGCAATTGTGCTAAACTTTTATCACGCAAACTGCATCAGGCCTGATACTGCATTTGCGATGAATTTGCTAGCAAGATTTACTATTTCTCTCCGTAGAGAGATGTCGTGATAAATTTGAGAATATCCCATTATGCTTTCATGTATGTTGAGTTATCTTTGGATTTGATAGATGATATTGGTGGATAAAGACATAAACTGTATAATTGATCCCCGAAGTACTGGGTCCTCGATTGGTTATAGACCTCTTAAATGGTATTAACTCTTTACCATTGGTTATTTAAATTTCCCCATATTTATCTTGAAGATAACTCCGTTTGTGTTACACAAATAAATTATGGAAATACATTGGATGATATTTTTGAATCCATATTAACTCCGGAAGAGCAACCAATGACGATTTTATGTAGATACTCTTACCTTGAGGGGGAGCAACAAACATTTATAAATGTAACTTGAAATGCTCTTGCCTTCAGGGGGAGCGATAAATAAATTCTGAAGATCGAGCCCGGAAGGCTAATTGTAATCTTGAAGATTAGGTCCTGTTGGCCGGTGTTGTACTCTTTTTCCCTTAGCTATGTTTTTTCCCATTGGGTTTTACTTAGTAAGGTTTTTAATGAGGCAGCAAATGTAACACATAAATATGCATACGTCATGTACTCTTTTCCTCGACTATTTTTTTTCCACTGGGTTTTGTAGCGAGGTTTTTAACGAGACATGGACATGATGTAGTAATGTCCAAGGGGAAGTGTTATAAATATATGTATATGGACATTACTAATTGATAATTGGGCCTGAAGTCCATTAGTTAGGGAAATTAGGTTTTAGGGCTTCTCACTTGTAAACCCTATAAAAGGGTGATATAGGATGAATAAAATTACAGACTTTTATGCTCTTCTGTCTCTTGTTCTCTCGCTCGTTTCTCTTTACTTTGTTTGGTGTGGATGCTTGAGGATCCCAATTTACAACAGTAATAAGGTTTATTATTCAAAGACTTGATACATGAATTTAGCATTTTTCAGTAAGATATATAATTTAATTTTTGTTCATAATGTTAGAGGTATTGTTTATATATGTAATATGGATGTATTGTTAATTCAGTATATCATACTTAACTAATGTCAAATAAAAATTTATAAAACATGCAAAAAAATGTGAGACGTATCTGGTAGTTGTAGGCTCATACAACATTTTTATATAAACTTATATTAGTACAATTCTCGTGTGCTACACGGGTGTTGAGTTACGAAATATATAATAAAATTTTTTGCTAAAACAAAAAATTTATTTAAAAATTTTGATGGACTAATTGATGAAAAAAAAGAATAGACAATTCAGGAAGTGATTTATAAATCATAATTTATGAGAGAAATATGGGAGAAAATTATAAGTTGGTAAGATTGCTACTTGCCCAAAATGTACTAAGAGAAAAGAAAATAACAAAATTAAATGTACACTTATCTAGTTTAAAAAAAATATTTATGTCTAATACCAAGCCTAATTACAGAGCAAAAATGAATATACAAACAACATTACAAAGCATAGATATTCGCCATGTCGACATCCGAAACGTGCGAGTCTGCCACTTAGGCTCAACACATTTTAAATTAATATATAAGGAGGGATTTTAACGGCGAATCAAGGTTACAAATTTTACATATAGAAATGGCAACATAAAATTTATTGATTTTTTAGAAGACAAAATAAAGTAAGAAACTTAAAAATAAAGAAAATGACATGGGTATTAGATGCAAATTAAAAATAATATATAAGTTTTAGTTTAAATATATATATATATATAAAAGATTTTTATAGGAACTAACATGTTGTATGTAATTATATTATTTTTAATTCTATAAATATATTTAATTGAAATGTCTGAAATTATATTATATATAATCATGTGACATAAAGTTTATTAAAATAAAGTATAGTCTAAGGTAAAAAGATATTATCCTACAGTGTCAAAATCATTTAAGTGCTTTCATTGTTAAATTTTATTATTGTAATGATTGTAGGTGATTATCTATCGTTTCGGAAAAAGAAAAATAATAATAATTATGATTGTAGGTGCACAAATTGATTAATTTGCTTGTTTAGTGTTTTTTTCTCTTTAGACTTTACAAACTTTATGTTGGAGAATGCTTTAGCAAAGGTGCTAGTAGTTATTGGATGGACATATTTATCTACTTTCATAATCTACATCTATACTTATATNTATATATATATATATATATATATATATATATATATATATATAAGTGCACTCAAATGAAAAAGGAACACCATGAAAGAAATGCGAATGAATTTGGACAACTGAATACATCATATCAATGAACACAATCAAGTCAAAATTTAATAAATAATGGTCAATCATTAATGACAATATGATAAATAAATAAACATATCATGGTCAAATAGATAGATTTGACCAATAATTAAGGGTAATTTAGACATTTGCCATAAACACACCAACATGTGGGACCCACCACCTCCCACATTAACTTTAATTCTCCACCTACCCGTCAATCACGTTTTTCACCCACCCCACACGTACACACACACAATTGAGATATGGCACACACACACACACGCACACAATCTTCACGTACTGGCTGGACCAGCGGTCGCTGCCGCTGCAAACACCGCCACTGTCTTCTTTCGTTTAACTAATCGATGGGGCGACTGATGTGGTCAAGGCATCACGACGGCGGATGGAAGCGACGCGATGCAGCGACGGTCGAAGACGAGTAGACGCGGTGGTGGTCAGAGGCGAGACGACGCTGCGGCGGTGGACGAAGGCAAGGCGATGCTGCGGCGGTGAACAAAGGCAAGGCGCCGCGACGATCAGAGACGAGTCGACACAGTGGTGGTCGGAGGCGAGGCGACTCGGGGGCGGTGGACGAAGGCAAGACGATGAGGTATCTGACGGAGGCGACGTGGTGGTGGTCGAAAGCGTGAAGCGCCGTCCATACCTGCTGCTGCATCTTTTGTGAGGTCGCGCTGCTGCCGGCGAGGATGGATATGCGATGTATGTTGATGTGTTCGTCGTTGTCGGGAACCAAGTAGGAGAAATCGAGATCGAACGGGCTATCATGGTGGTGGAGACATCTTTAAGGGAATCGGTGGGTGGTGGTGCAGCCGGGGACAGACGGTCGTCGGGCGAAGGATGGCGGGTGGAGGGCGTTGGTCGGGGTGCAGAGGGCTGACAGGATTCTTGTTTCTTTTTTTTTCTTCCTTTTTCTTTTTCTTTTTTTTTTTTTTTTTTTTTTGTGAAC